CGATGTCTCGTCCTGTTTCTGTTTGCATTTCCCCAATGGCCGATAATGCCCCAGTCTTCTGTGTCCCCCTCGGTCGGGCCCCGCCTCCGCCTCCCGGTTCACTCTCTTTTGCTTGCCCTTCTCTGCTCCCCTGGCCGCCCATCTAGAACAGCAGGCCAAGGTCGCAATTGCTGTGAAATCTCATCTCGCTGGGATCCAGCCTGCTCCAGTACCTGTAGGCAGAGCCACTTCTACTGGGGGCCATCACCCCTCTGGGCCTCAGAGTCTCACCTGCCAATCAGGGAGGGAACTTGAGAATTAGGTGAGGTCATTTATGCAGTGTTGGTACTTCGTAAGGCTGAGCAGTGGTGGCCGTCGGGAGTTAGGGCCCTTGCAGTCCTGCCTGGTCATTGTCTGTCTGCTTGCCTGGCCGGCCTCCACAGTGTGGGAGGACCCCAGGGTGGGGCTGCCTGCCGCACTTCCTTCTATTTTCAGCTCCCGGCAGTGCTGGGCAAACAGACCTTGAACGCACCGTGTTAGCCTCGCCGGAGGAGAGTTAAGTGTCAAATGATGGGTTGGCCTAGATGCCTTCCAACCCTGAAATTCTATGATCAGGAAATTACCCAGGAAAAAGTTCCCCTTGCTGGGTCCTTTCTAAGGTTTCTCAGTGGGACTTGATTACACACTGCAGGTAATTATAGAAGGCTTCGGTGGCCAAGAGCGCTGCATGGCCTGATGGCTGCTGGGTGCATTTTGGGGGCTATCATCTTTCCACTGTCCGGGCGGTCGGAGCCCTGGTGGAGGCAGGGCCTCTCCCTTCAGCTGGGCAGTGGGAAGCAGCTCCAGGGGACCCAGCCTCAAGCTGGTGGCCCTTTACTATCTATCCTGGGGGGTGGCAGGCCAGCATCAAATGGCATGTGAGTAACATCTGGCGAGTCATGGGGAACAGGAGCAGAGAAGATCTTTAGAACTTTCAATCCAGGAGTCACAGTTTTCTATGCCCGCAGGGGCTGCATGAGGAATATCAATGGATAAAGAGGTCTGGGTAAGGCGATAGAGAATAGTGGGGCCTGTGGCAAACTGGAAATCTCACTAGGTTCTGACAAGAGGAGATGACTGCTGCTAAGTCCCCGGAGAATGTGAGCCTAAGGTCCCTGGACCATTTCTTCCTTTATGAAGGGAAGCTAGAGTCCAGATTTTCAGTGAAGTTTTCTGATATTTAAAAGTTATAGCTGATTTAAAGTTTTGTCAATTGCAGTACGCCAGAGACAAAACATCCCATGAGGCAATAGTTTCCTGAGACAACAGTGTCCATATCCTCCAATCTAGTGCAACATTGGACAGACTGGGAAAACTGAGGCTCAGGATTTGAGGACTTGCCAAAAATTGCCAGAGATGTAGTGACCCCAGGGGATGTGAAGCATGGTCCTTTGTGGCTTAGTCTGGGCATATTGCCCACCGCCCTGAAGGGCTCCTCACCACCACCTTTTCCCAAGGAAGAACTGAAGCCCGGAGGAGGAAAGAGGCTTGCTCAGAGTCACACGGCTTGTAATGGCCAAGTCCAGTCAGGCTGCAGCTTCTGGGCCCTCCACTGTGGGGCGCTCCAGCCACTGTGCTGCCAGAAAGGACCCTGGAATGGCTCCACCGAGAGCCTGACTGGGAGCTTGGCGCGGCCGCATTCTGACTCACTGCCCATCTGCAGAAAACGGCTCGCATACCCGTGGGCAGGAAGCGCCGGCTGCCCAGGGAGATTCCTCCGTGTGTTTGCTGAGCTAAGACTTTCAGCCCCGAAGGTTGCTTGGCAACCTGGATTTAGGTGCTGACCCTGCCTTCTGCCTGCGGTGTAACTTGGACAAGTGACTTCCCCTCTCTGGGCTCACCTGCACAGGGGCCGGCCCTAAGGGCATCTAATACAAGGTTGTTTGGAGAATCAACTGGCTCAATCCCCATGCAGCGTTTGAAACAGGGCCTCCATAAGTACTTCATAAATGTTAGCTTTTGTTTGTAACGGCCAGGCACGTAGTAGGTGTTCAGCGAGGACAGTCACCCTTCTGCGTGAGTCATACTTTGCTACTTTCACAAGGACCACACACTACATGCATGTCTGCCTCCCCATGCACCTGTAAGGAGAGCCCCAAACCCAGAGAACCTCTCGTTTTTGCCCCGAGTCAAATGCTGAGAATTTTCCAAATGTTGAGCTTGTAAAACCCCCGAGATGAATGTTACTGCCAAAATGTGCGGGTATATCAAAGGGACTGAATCCCGATGCTGGATGATGATGCCGGAGCTTTAAAGTTTTCCTTTCTTCGCCCTCGATCTGCTGTGGCCACAGCCTCTTCTGCTCATCACTTTGAAAAAGGTCGCCGGTTATTCGCATGAATCCCACAGTGTGAGAACTTGGGAAGAAAGAACCAGAGAGTGGTTGTTACGTCCACTCACCTGTCGTTATGTCCGGCAGGTGCTCCCCACGCCTCCTGCAGCCTGCGTGCCATTCCATGTGTGATAACAACGGGGGCCCGTGGGGTCTTCACTGGCTCACGCCTGATAGGGGAGCCTTCACGTGGGAGTGCAGAGAAACACACTGGGAAGTGGGCTGGTGTTCAGGCCACTGATTGGCTTAATCTCTGACACTGCAATAGCCAATGGGAAAGGGGGTCTGGGCCTGGGAGCTCCAGTGGGCACAGTCATGATGCAGGTTCCCAAGGGACAGACCTAGAGGAAGTAACTAGAAAGGGACATCGTGAGGGGTCTGTCACCCTTGCTAATTTGCTGGGTGACAAGCCACTGTCCTCCTGGGGTGACATGATGAGGCCCCGCTTTCCTCTCTGACCTCATCCGGTAAAAGTGTCCTGTTGGCTCAGCAGGCTCCCCCCACATGGGCCTTCAGGCTGAGTCCGAGCTCGGGGCTGCCTGGCCATGTGACACTGACTCGCCCCTCTGCCTGAACTTGGTCCCTCAGCCCTGGCTGGGCATGGCCGTCACTCGGACGCTCCCTCGTGCTGTCTTCGCTGTCACCCCCTGTCCTGCAGGTTGTTTACTGCTCTGTGTGATGTGGTCACGGTGTGCCACCAGCATCCCTATCAGGGCCTGGCACGTTCTGGGCCCCAGCGAGCCTTTGTGAGATGACCAATGGTTGTTCTTCTGGTTGTTCATTCTAAAGCCGAGAGCCTGGGCCAGGCGGTTGAGGAGCCTCTCTGCTCTCGAGAAGAGCCTCGGCTCCGGCTGGCCTCCCACAGGGCTCTCCGTTCCTCCCAGCAGAGCCGGAGGCTGGGATCCGGGGGTGTGGAGCTCCGGGGAGACTCTCAGAGGAAGGGACTGGGGAGGGCAGGGGCGGGGCAGGCGTGGAGCAAGGACGTGCCCCCAGCCGGACCACGGGATCCCTGGAACATCTGCCACAAGGCTGGTTCCACATTGAGGGAAAGGGTCCTTCCTGCAGCCCCAGGTCTCTCAGTCACTGTCTGGGGGCCGCCCAGGGTGGGGGCATGGTTGCAGGAGGGGAGCACCTCCCAGGCAAGGTATCTCCTGTGTGGTGGGGGGGCAACCCTGGCAGCAAGGGGCAGCTAGGAGCTGCTAGCAGCAAACAGCCAGAGCAGCTGAGGATTGGTGTCCTAGCCCAGAAAAGGCCATCCCACAGCGTCCCCTCCACAGGGACTGGCACCTTCCAGGTAGCCTGACCTCACTATGCCCCCCTCCCCCCACCTGGCTGAGGACAAGAACACCTGAACCCTGCCTTTGCAGGTGAGGTGACTCCCGGGGTAACCTGCCACCTAAGGCACGCCCAGCACCTCTTGGTTACCAAGCCCTGCCCCTCCGTGCTGCAGCGGGTGAGTCACTGAGGGATGCTTAGCCGTGAGTGACAGGCTGGCCGTCCCCTAGCCACTGTGTACACGGCCCCGAGGCTCACCTGCTGGATGTGTGCTGGATGTTGGTGGCGGAAGAAAGCAAATGGCACAAGCTGCTTGTTGGGGAAAAGGCTTTACTTTTAACTAAATCGTATTATGATTTTTAAAACTCTCCTGACATGTCATTTCTGAGAGAGAGTCAGAGGCAGGGCGGGCTTGGTCCTGGACACTGGCTCCCTCCGGCTGCCCGGACGGGCCCTGTGTAATATTAGCGTCCTCGGGCCTCGGGTCATCATCCATTATTGACGCGCAGAGGGCAGTGTGCGCGGGTGAGCGGGAGGGGGAAGCCCAGGTGTCTGGAGCATTTAGAAAGTTCTCTTCAGCCCCACCCCCGGGGGGAAGGCATTTTGCACACCTCCCAGGTAGAGAGACTGAGACAGTGAGTGGCCGAAGCTGCTGTGCGCCACAGGGTACCGTGAATACCAAGGGTATTATTAGCTTCCGCCATTGTTGTTTACGGTGGGCCCCCTCTCAGCATTCAAGAAAAAAGCTAAACCAGGGACATCACCTCCCTAATTCCCAGCTGCTGCTTCCTGCCAATTAGAATATTCCAGAGTCAGACCCAGCCCCCCACCCCCTGTGGTTCTGGACTTGCCACCAGCCCCCTGTGGAGGCCTCTGTCAGGGCTGCAGAAGGCCTTTGACGGGCAGGCTTCCAGTTGCCCCCTGGCGCTCACCACCCCTGGGACCTGGCCAGGCTCCCGATCATCTGAACCTCGGTTTCTTCCTCCGCCCCACAGGAAGCCAGAGCAACCTGGGGGCCTACCATGAGGTTTAACGGCTTAACCCGGTGCAGGAAAGATCTCAGAATTAGAGTGCACTGTTCTGACCTCTGATCTTTTGTCTCCAGCAGGAAGTGGTCAGAGAGGTCACGCAGGGCAGGGCTTTCCTGAACAGTTGGCAGCTCAGAGCCTGACGTTCAGGTCTCCTAAGTCATACCCAGCGCCCTGCAGGGGCCGCTGTTCTCTCCTCACCCAGGGGCTCACGGCTGTCACTCCACACGAGCCCTTAATATTTGCTCTGTGTGCCGGAGCTGAGCACACTGCAGGCGCGCCGTGGTTAGACCTTCACGCCCTCTCCCTGCGGTAAGAACGAGCATCCCCCCCGCCCTGTTTTTCAGATGAAGAAACGGAGGCTCAGAGAGGTTAAGGCACACCCCAGGTCACACAGCGGGTGAGTGGCAGAGCTGGGATTCGAATCGAGTTCTCTTTGGCTCCGGAACCAGCGCTCTTAACTGCCTTGCTTTGTCTGCCTTAAACTGTGTTGACAGGATTGTCCCCCTTCCACTCCGATGTGGGGGCCTGTGACTTGGTGACTACTGTGTGTCTCCCTGTGCCTCCGAGGGCACCCAGGTCACGGTGGCAGCCCATACTTGTAGGAGGTTTAGCAGGAAACCCAGTGTAACCCCACGTGGTCGGGCAGTGCTCGGGGCAGGGCGGTTCATCCAATCATTGGCAAATTCTGGTTTACGGAGGGCCCCCCCCGCCCCGTAACGGAGGTTTTACCGTATTCAAACGCATCAAGTCACTGACTCGAGTGCCAACAGGAGAGCTGCGTTCCGCCCCGATTGTACAGAGGACGTACTCTAGGGATGTCTCCACAGGCAGTTCAGAGGATGCGCGACTCTCGGTGATTCGGAAAGTCGGGCCCTTGACTTCGTGGTAGGAATGCGGGCAGGGAAGCGGTGCGGTGGGGTCCAGCGTGCGGCCCCCACCCCTCATTGGTTAGGCGCCCGCCAGGGGCTGACTCCCCCCCCCCTCAGCCTCCCTTCTGCACCCCGCCACGTGCCTCTGACGGTATTTGGGTCCTCCCGCCTCTTGTGTCCCTCCCCCTCTCCTGCCACCAGGGGTGCCCTACTGCTGCTCCCGATCTTCGAAACCCACTCTTCTTTTCGGAAGGTTTCTTAGAAGCTGTTTCTGAGAATGAGCCAGCCCCGCTTCAGTGACATGGCTCCAGATGAGCTGCCCGACTGGGCCCCTGAGGTCTCCAGAGACACCCTGGGGGACCGGGGCAGGAAGAGGGCTCGGCATCCTTCTGGGGCCACCGGCACGGACAGGGGGTGTGGTCTGTTAAGGGCTTTGGTTTTCAGACCAGCTCAGGGGTGGTGAGAAGGCCCCCCAGCCGGGCTTGGGCCCCCAGCCCCGCTGCAGCCGGGAGAGCTCCGTGTCAGCCTCCGCTTTCCACCTCAGTGCAGGTCCAGTTTCAAGGACATTTGAAAACCGCCACCTAACGACAGTGTTGTCGCCCAGAGATCCGGAAAGCAGGTTCCAGGCCTGGCTCTGCCAGCTCGCACCCTGCAGACAGTGCCCGCCCCTTCCCTTCACCGGGCCTCAGGTTGCCTGTTTGCGGCTCCATAGCCCCTGACCAGCTGCGGCAGCAAGGAGCCATCTCTGATGATGTGCATGCAGGTTTTTTTATTAGAGAGAGAGGGAGCGAGAGAAACATCGATTTGTTGTTGCACTGCTCCGTGCATTTGGTTGTTTCTTGTGTGTTCTTGTGTGTGCCCCGACTGGAAATCAAACCCATAACCTTGGCATGTGGGGGCGATGCTCCGACCCACTGAGCTCGCTGGCCAGGGCCTCGTGCAGGTTGTCTAGTTGACAAGGCAGAGCTGTTGAAACAGAGAAGGGGGGGGAGTGTGTGACATTGGACACAAGCACTCCCACCCTCCACGGGTGTCTCGGTCAGGACAAACCCAGAGCCTCCTGCACGCCCGGGTTCAAGGATGAGCCACGGTGGCCGACAGAGGTCACTCCAGCCTTCCAGGAGGCCTCGCCATGGCTGCAGGCTGTCTGGGAGCCAGACCCGTGGGCCCTGCAGTGGGGCTGGGTGCCCCATCAGGTGCTGTGCACCCGACATCCTGCCCAGGCACAGAGGAGCCTGCCACATGGGACTCGCACTTTCCTGCTGCGGTTCAGGGCAGCTGCACAGATGCACAGTGTGGTCTGCAGTATTTCTGGTGTGTTGTTTTTGCAAAGGCCAGAGGAAGTCTGCACGCGGAGCCCCACGCTCCCCGCCCTACAGATGGACAGCTGATCTGCTCAGCGGGGCACAAGCAGAGCTCAGCTGGGAGAGGAAACTTCGGGACACGAGGTCCCAAGGTCAGAGGCGACCTGCACTGAGCTGGACAATGTCCTGGGCGGGGCCGATTTGAGATTGCTGTTGTGACCATCCCAATTTTGCACAAAGGGGACCCTGAGGCCCAGGCACGACCAGGACGCCTCACGTTTGACGACGCACAAACCAGAATGAACCTCTGCTCCCTGGGCTTGGAGCGCTTTTCACTCTGCCCTCGGAGCACAGGTACCAGGTGGGCAAAAGCAGGTTTCCAGTTGTGTGTGGGGAAAATAATGTAATAATAAATAATAATAGTACAAGAATAAACGCTCTTTCGCGTTCTCACAACTGTAAGCCTGCGTTTGCCCGTGCCTGTACTGGCTGAGGGTCTACCAATGTTATCAGCTGGGGGGCGCGGGGGGGCACAGAGAAAGTCCCTGCTTCCTGGTGGGGGAGTAACAAACAAGGAATTCCAGACACAGCAGAGTGTCATTTTGTGCTTAAGGCTGTGAAGGAAAATGCAGCCCGGCAAGGTGATGATGATGATGGTGGTAATGTTTCAGAGTGATCAGGGAAGGCCCCTCGGAGAAGGACATCTGGGCAGACGCAGGAGCGCAGCAGGGAGCAAGCAGCCGTGTGGATTCTAGAGTAAGAACATCCTAGGCGGCAGGATAGCGTGTGCAAAGGCCCCGGGGCAGGGAATATGCTCGTTGTACGGTCACACTCTTTGATTCTGATTCTCTCTGTGTTTGCCTCCCCACTCTCCCACCGACAGCTACTACTCTGTGCTGTCCCCTCCATCTGTCCCCTCTAAGTGTGTGTAAGGGTCTGGTGGGGGCAGCAGTCATGTAGCAAGAGAAATCTAAAAGAATGGGGCAGAAGGGAGGTGCCTCTCCCACAGGAAATGTCCTGTCTCCTTCCTTTGGCCTCTCAGCCCAGTCCACTCGGGTGGCGTTTGAAACGGTCCCTGTGTGTTTTTGGTGGAAGCACGTGTTCGACCCAGGGCTGTGCGTTCAAACACTGTAACCCACTGTTTCAGACCCTTCTTTCCAAATAGTGCAGGGACCTGGACTCCAAAACCATAGAAATAGAGCGAGAAATTGTGTCGGAGCTCACTGCCGACCTTGAGCTGACCTCAGGAGAAGAGGCTGCAGTGAGCAGAGCCCGGGGTGCGGGCAGGGGCAGGGGCAGACCTCAGTCCGACCATGGCCAGGAGCAGGCTGTGGTCCTGGGCAGGCCCGTCCCATCTGGGGGCGGTCAGTTCTGCCCACCATCTGTGCTGGTATGGAGGCCCGTCCGGTCCCCGGGCTGGGCGTGCTGGAAGGGACATGCTCGGAGAGCTAGGGTCTCCAGGTTCTAGTCTTGGTGCCACCGAAGAATCATTTGCCACCTCGGGCAAGTCCCATCTCCTGCCTGAGCCTTGGGCCTCGTAAACGGCCAAGGAAGCAGAAAAGTGGGGCCCTGCCTCAGTTTCTCTGATCCTGAAACGCCCTGAGGCCTGGCTCTGAGGTGGTCCCGCCGCAGGCATTCAGATAAAAGTTTGGAGCAGTTCTCACTTCTCCCTGATCTGGGGCCTGCGGCTGCCAAGCCAGAAACGCATCCATGAGCAGAGGAGTGTGTGTCTTTCCTCAGGGCCCAGAAGGAGTTATTAAATCTTCCATTAACTGAATTTCATTCAGCTGGAAAAATAATAATCAGAAAGCAGTTCTGCCTGGTTACTGGCCTGTGAGCTCCTTCAAAGTTTCCCGTGAGGGATGATCAGAAAGCTTCTGCACCGTGACACTCGGAGCCCGGCTCTGCCTGCCTCCTCCCCAAAGAGTGGGCAGGGGCCTGGAGGTTGACCAGCAAGCCCATTGTCAGTCAGTGTCACTGGGTTACCCATCTGTCCATTTGCTCGGTAAATGGCCCCACACGGTGGGCCACGGCCAAGAGTACAGTCCCAGTGATACAGAACTAAAGGACACACAGTCTGTGCCCTCAACCGTCAGGCTCAACCTGGCCACGTGGTACAGTCGGTTGAATTCCAGCGAGTCCTCGCTGAGCTCCCTCTCGAGTCATGAAAATGCAAACATTAAGAAACTGCCCCAGCTCTGTGCTCTGGTTCCCCAACGTCCGCCCCCAAATTCATTGGTTTAATGTGCTCTGTGTTTGCGAACGAAGGCTAACGTCTCTCCGAAAACCAAATCCCATTTTCTTCTTGTCATTTCACCGGACACATCTGAGTCTCACAGGATTCTCCCTGGGGTGGTGGGGAGGGGGTCAGGGGTCTCCTCGGCAGGTGGCACTGGAGACGTGACACTCACACTCTGGGAGGAGGCATGAGACAGAAAGTCACTCCATCAACGAGGACATATCATAGATAATAAAGTACTCTAATAGGTGGAAAATAGAACAGCATTGCTGTTAAGTCTGGGATTGGATTTGATTTCCTTTACGAGCTAGTCAGCCTATCGGCGTTTCATGGATGTTGGCGGAAGACATGAGACTCCTGGGTCAGAGATCAGTGACTTTGGTACTCACGGCACAGCCAGCAGCATGAGTGGTGGGCTGGCGTCAGCTCCCGCTTCACCCCTAAGTCCTCAGGGGCTGGCTGCAGGGCCTGGGCCGATGTTGGCACCTGTGATGGGTTTCTGGATAGACTAGGAACACGGAGCTTGGGGAATCCACTGCGTGTATCAAAGAGAAAGCAAGCCATTCCTTCGTGTTTCATGATTCATGGTTGCAAACACAACCCTAAAAAATGATCCAGACAAAGAGCCTGCAGGGCATTTCATTCTTAGCTCATCCTGAAAACACGGATGCACACGAGACCCATGGAGGGGCGGCTTCTGACACTAAGTTGGCACTGAAGAAGTCTGGACTTGAATCCTAGGTCTGGCACCCGCTACCTGTGAGGTTGGTGGATTGCAATATCTGGGCTTCTTTTAGCCTTGGTTTTCTCATCTGTAAAATGGGGATGATACCTACCTTTCGGTTGATGATTAAAGAATATGTAAGATCACTCTTCTAGGAACTCCATGGGGAACAAGAGATAGTCTCTGAGGTCAGGGAGCTGAGTTGCAGGGAGATTCCTTTCTGCTACATGTAAATATATCATGTTGGAAAACAAAGACGGG